CTACCCTGGTGCACACCCCTAACCCTAATATAGGGTGAAAGGTCCATTGAACAGAATGTGATTTTGGAAAGTCTTCCCTGAGCAGTTTTTTCTGCACCGCTCATCATCTCTGCCCATTCTAAACACATTCCAGCCATCAAAACCATGCCAGGGCACCTCGGTTTCCCAACCCTAACCCTACCCTGGTGCACACCCCTAACCCTAATATAGGGTGAAAGTTACATCCAAAATAATGTGACTTTGGAAAAGCCTTCCTTAAGTAGTTTTTTCTGCACCGCTCAACATTTCGGCCCATTCTAAACACATTCCAGCCCTCAAAACCATGCCAGGACACCTCGGTTTCCCAACCCTAACCCTACCCTGGTGCACACCCCTAGCCCTAATATAGGGGATATTACCATTGAAAAGAATGTGATTTTGAAAAAGCATTCCCTGCGTAGCTTTTTCTGCACAGCTCATCATCTCTGCCCATTCTAAACACATTCCAGCCATCAAAACCATGCCAGGACACTTCATTTTCATAACCCTAACCCTACCCTGGTGCACACCCCTATCCCTAATATAGGGTGAAAGTTCCATCCAAAATAATGTGAGTTTGGAAAAGCCTTCCTTAAGTAGTTTTTTCTGCACAGCTCATCATCCCTGCCCATTCTAAACCCGTTGCAGCCTTAACAACTATACACTTTGGTTGAAATTCTTCTGTGTTGGTCAAATTAGCAAGCCCAGCAGTCTTGTTTGCCTTTCACAGCTTATAGGATGCCAGGAGTCGCTGCAGGAGCAGCAGGTTGGCCTCTGAAGCTTTGCAAACCATTCAGCTGGCCAGTTACCAAAGGAGCTCCTGGGTTATCTATGTCTGCAAAGCTGGGAACACCCCCAAAAACCCCGAGGATTCTGTTGCAAAGGGAGCCCTCTGCCCCCCACCAAAGCAAACGAGCAAGAGTGGTGGGACATATCGAATGCCAGAGCTGCCCCCCTTGGAGCAGGCCTCGCTTCGGTCACGATGCACGTGGCTGGCTTGCAAGGCAAGGCTTGCAGCCCCCGGACCGGGGCACTTAATTTGGGCTGCTAGTTTAAATAAACGTTCAAGCTGAGACGGGTCCTTCTCTGCCTACTTTCAGTTCATGCTTTGATGCAGTGATTATTCACAGCGAGAGAGAAATAGGCTTCCTGTTGCAGATCGCTCCGATACGCTTGACGCCCCGGCCCCAGAGGCACTCTCACTCTCGCCCTCGCCCCACGGGTGCCCTTGCCGGGCTCCCTCTCCCCCACATCCCGTGTGCCCACCAGATCAGTTCTGGCTGCCCAGGCAGCTCTGGTGGGACCCACTCCCTATGCGACTGCGATGTAAGGAGGTTGGAAGCTGGGTATTCTGTGTGTTCCCAGTACGGAATAATCGCAATGGGTGCTTCTGTTTATCACAAATAGCAGAACTAATAGTTTTAACAGGAGCTTACAAGTTGGCCAAAGATAAAAGAGTGAAGATAAGTAATGAATCTCGTTACGCATTCGAGATGTTACACAATTTTAGACAACTTTAGAAACAAGGAGCGTTTCTTACTGCAAGTGGAGCTCAGATGTGGAATGACCCTCCTATAGATGCACCGCTGACCTTCCTGTCGCCTCCCCAGCGGTTGCAGCTGCCGCTTTGCTCATCAATTGGTCAATCTTGCGGTGGAGAAGGGAACCAGCTTCCTGCTTCTCAGGCTACTATTTAGCATTGAAAATGTTGGTATACAAAATCAGGCCTCATATTCAGAAAAAGAACCCTGGAAACTGAAGGGGGTTTTGCATCAGGAGGGGACTTGGCAAAGCCTGGACAGCCGCCCATTTGTGCCAAAATCTTTGCTCCCACCCCTAACTGTGTATATGATGGGAAAATTCACGGCCAAGGAGATGGGAGTGTGATGGGAGGCACCAGGTCTTGCTACGGTGGCTGGGCGGGCGCTGTCACTGCACTTCCCGCATCAGTCAGGCTTACAGGGTGGGCAAAAGGGTCAAAAGGAAACGGGCAGAGCCGGAGCGGGGTCCTTTATGCACATGCGAGTTGACTTGAATCAGATGCCAAAGTGCTCCTCGTTTGAATGTGTGTGAGTCACGCCCGGCACATGTTCAGGGCAGAATGAGGTGCATCCATGCACGATAGCAGGCGCCATCACCACCAGTGGGAATCCCTCGTGATCCACGAACCTGGCAGGGGCACCCATTTCACCAGGCCTCTTGGGCAAGGAGATTGCAGAGCACTCGGCGCTCGGCAGAACCCTCACGGCCCTTTCTACCCAATCCACGGGGGCAGCAAGAGGGCAACAAAGACCCGCAGAACCAACTGGCAAAGTTTTGTGTGGGACGGGTGTGGTTCTAACGCATGGGGGATCTGCTGCTAATAGAAGCACAGGACTTGCGCTGCTAGAGATCACCATGGGCAGACCAGTGGGACACTTGTCTTCTTCCCAGCAAAGATGCTCCTCCAGGACATCCAGCTGGTGGGCGAAACCATGTTAGATTACTGTAAAGCTTCAGTGACACATGAGAAAGCTTTTCGCCCCCTGGCATGTGCTGTGGACCTGCGCAAAGAGCCTGCCACTCCATTCAGCTGGGAGACAGGGTCTGTGGGAAGTTCCGCCAGAAGAAGAATCCCTGGCATCCCCACTGGAAGGGCCTCCCAAGCCCTTCTCATGGCTAGTGGAGTGCCGAGGCCCCCAGACGTGGATCCATGCCCTCACTGCAGAGCCGCTGTGGAGGCCGCGGTTCCCTGGCTTAGGCTTGGACCTTGCCTCGGGAACTGGAGCCGAGCACTCACACTGCCTGCTCCCTTCCTCAGAGAACCCTTCCTTTCCTTTGGGGCAGCTGGGCTGCAAAAATGGTCTCTTGTTGATATCTTGGGTACTAGAAATATTGGTAGCAACCATGGGGGAAAGAATTCACTCTCTGCAGGCTGAAATTAAGAAGGAATAATTCTGCAGAATACAATTGCTCTAGATTACTTTTTTGGTAGCAAAGGGTTATGTGCAGTGCAGTGATTAACCAGACATCCTGTGCTTATGTGAACAAAAATGAGCCTCTCGAAACACGCCTCGAGAAGCCGAGAAGAGCAGTGCTTGCATTCACACCACAAACATGGAAAGGACAGGCTGGGATCTCTGGTCATAGACAACTGGGCCTCTACAGTCACCAAGATCAAGTCAGAAAAGATTGCCATGCAAATAGTTGGGCAGATCATGGCCACACAATACAAAAGGGCCAATTGAGATAATACAGAAATCTCATGAAAAGGAGGAAAAAATGGCCATGCAGAAATCTCAGCCCATGCAGAGAAGCGTGTGGAGAACCACAAAGGCGCGTGTGGGGAAGACATTACATTTCTCTGGGTTTCCATGCTTCTGCGGTTGATCAGTGGGCTGCAGGTGAGTGCCACCCGGATCCTAACTGTGCCAGAACCCAAAGCCTGTGAGGCCTCCTAGGGAGAGGAGAGGTAAGGAAATGGTTCTGCGTAGGAAACGGTGGCTGGAGTGCCTCAGAGGGGGAGCCACTGCTTTCAAAGTAACGGCGCACCACAAGAGCACAGTTTACTTTGGCTCCAGAGGGTCCCCTTCCAGCTGGCACTTTTCACATTTCCATGTCTCCAGATAGTGGTTCGTGTTCACACAAAAGCTTGTGCCTGCTGGGGAGCGAGAGCCTCGCTGGCGTGCCCTCTGGGCTTGCTCCCCAGTGCTGCCGTGAGCACCCAGCGCCAAGGGTCTGGCAGCTTGCGCCGTGGCTCCGGGGGGAGAGGGCCTCCTTCTGCTCTTGTGCCGGCGTGGTTCTCCCACTGGTGCCCCCGGCAGGAACCCTTGTGTGTTTGCCTCCAGCAGCTGCCCCACAGAAAGGTGCTTCCTTCCTCACTGAGCTGAGCGCTGCCGAGCAGCCGGATATGGTAAGCCGCCAGGGGATTCACTAACCTATTTTGCCACCTGGGACTGGAGGTGTGCCCGGGGTGGGCAAGGGCTGCCCACACCTGCCTGGGTTTGGCTCGCTGGGGCAGCGGCTGTGCAGGCCGGGGAAGCCAGCAGGGGAACTCGTGCTCAGAAGGTGGGCTCTGGGAGTCCGGGGACCGGAGGCAGCCCCCCTGCAGCGCAGTGCTCTCTCAAGGGGCAGGCAGACGCCAGGCCCTTCGGCCAAGCAGATGGGCCGCGTCCCCAGGGAAGAGCCGCAGCCTCTGCAGGAGAAGGGCAGGGAGAGGCACTGGAAGGCAGCAGGGGGGGGCCCACCCGGCCAGAGGCGTCTGCCATGTGTGTCGTGTCGCATCCTGGTTCTCTAGAGCAGGGTCCCCCCCGTACCAGTGCGGGGGGGGGGGGAGTGCTGTGCTGGCGACAGTGAGAGGCTTGCGGGGCCTGGCGAGCTGGGGGGGATCAGGTGCCCCCAGAAGCTCAGGGAAGAGACACGGGCAGGCACGAGTGTGGAAACGGGGGGGCAGGGGGGACACCTCCCAGGGCAACGTTAATGGACTGATTTCTGCGGGGGGCGGAGGAAGCTACCTGCTGGCTGGAGACCTTACCCCAAGGGGTGCCCAGGAGGCGCCTCCGCATCTGGCTTCACTTGCCCCCTCCTCCGCAGGCAAAGGGACGGAGACACCTGCCCAGTCGCCTGTTTGGGGGGGACGGCCCGCTGGGTGGGCGTCTCCTCGCTGGACTGGCCCAGCTCTGGCGGGAGCGGATCCCTGCGCTCTGCCCCTGGAGCAAAGCCACAGTGGGGGCCAAGTGGGCGAGAGGCCAGTCTGCTCCCGTTGGGGGAGAGCGAGGTCATGATGGGAGCTGCTGGTGCCAATAAAGTCCGGATCCGAGCCAGATCGGTCAGCCCAGCTTCTGCGGAGTTTTCCTCCAAACGTCTTATTGGTGTGGACTTAGAGAGACAGACATGAAAGCGGCCGAGACGCCTCAGACATCGCTTTATTTACAACAAGGCGAGGCCGCGGGGTCGGGGTGGGGCGCAGTCGTGAGCCCCTGGCCCGCTTCCTTTCTGGGCGCATCGCTTGCAACGGGGAAGGTGGCGGGCTGAGCCAGATGCTCTCAGGCACAGCAGAACGGTGGTGGCCTCTGGACCGCTTTTGTGCTTTTGCATATCAATTAGAGGAACCCACATATGGGGGGGTGGAGGTGCCTCGTTTGCTTTGCAAATCGTGTGGTGAGGGCTCCTGCCGGCGGTGCTGGGTGCTGGCGGTGCTTCCGGTGCTTCCACCCACTCAGGCCCCCACTCAGTGAGATCCTGCATGATAAGCAGATAAACGGCTGCCTCCCTTGCCAGAAGGGCTGCTTGCTTCCCAGATTATGGATAGTTACCACATCACCTTGGACATGATCCCGACCAATATGGTGAGTTGGGGCAAAGGGGCCTTGGCTGGGGCGATGGAGGAGGGTGGCCCTCCAATGGGAGGGAGCTGGAGAGGAATGGGCTCCTGCCGCTCCAGTGGCCCTCTGGCAGATGAGGCGCCTTGCAGTGGAACAAGCCCACCAAAGAGCGAGATTCGGCTCAGCACGGCACGGCACGGCACGGCCAGCACCTTCCCTGGCCCCATGCTGCTGCAGGCGGCTTGATGTTTAAGTCCAGCGTTTCAAAGTGGTGGTGCGGGTCAGAGGGGTGGCAGGTCCGAGTGGGCACATCCTGCCCTCTGGTGCTCTCAGGCCTCCGGGACTGCTCTGCATCAGTTAGGAGAGGCTTCCAGTTCCCCGGCTCTGCGGGGAGTGCCAGTGCTCGGGAAGAGCCCGCGGGGATCTGCTTTGCACTGCATCTGCTACGGCGGCCACCTGCACCCATCTCCAGCGGCTCGTTCGCACGGCAGGGCAAGATTTCGCTCTCCTGGGCCGTGCTGCCTCTTGCCCCCTTCTCTGGACTGGCCATGTGTCCCATGCGGCAAGTCTCGGCCAGGAGGGCAGGGCTCCTGTGCGGAGGAAGGGGGTGGTGGGGGCGAGGGGAGCAGAGGGTCCCCGGCCGTCCCGAGCGTGGCGCCGGGCTTCAGCCGCGGCCAAGGGCGGCCTCTGTGCAGCTCCTCGGGGCTGGCTGCTCCTCGGGGGCTGCTGCAGGCCCACCAGATTCACGGGTGCCCGGAGGTGCTGGCGACAACAGCACGGACCCCGGATGCGCGAGGCTTGGGAGGGCAGCGGCAGCGAGAGGCCGGGGCCAGAGCGGGCGCAGGAAAGAGCCATTTGCAGAAGTGGTTATGGCAGCACTTCACAGTTTTGTGAGATTTCCGCTGCAGGCACAACACCAGAACCTTTAATCCCCTGGGGGAGAGGAGGGCCCCTCCGCCCGCCCCAGAGATGGCTGACTTCTCTCTCTCTCTCTGCCACTGCGAGGGTCTCTCTGTCAAACGCCTCCCCTGTGCTGGCTCACAAGGGCAAAGCACGCAAGCAGAGGTGAGTTAGGGAGACGGGGGCCCCTGTGGGGGGGCCGGCCATCAAAGGCAGAGAATCGGGCCCCCTTGGTGCTCTGCTGGAGAAGCGCATCGCCCGCCTGAGGTCTGCCTAAAGCCATCCCCCCATCCAGTCACTCGCCTGCAGGTAGCAGAACATTCTCCAGAGCTACATGCTCTGGAGCCGGAATGGCAAAACCTTGTTCATGCTGTACAGCCCTTGCAATGGGCCCCAATTTAAACCACCTATTTAGTTTTTCCATCAAGTAACGTAACAACACTTCTCCAGGTCACTTCTCGGCGCGTGTGCGCCAAAACACGCCAGTGGAGGAGTTCTCTGCGACGCAGTGCAGCACCTGCATCCCTTTGTCTTCAGTCAAGACTTTCAAAAGTAGCATGGAAGGCTAAGCACTGTAACCCTGTGATGCTACTTTGAAAAAGATCATACAAATCTGTATTTCCAGACACTGCTTTTAACCACCTCACTGGAATGGCAGTGTGGAAAGATTTTATCCCTGCTCCATACATTAAATTCTGTACCATATTACAACTGTGCAGCTCTCTGCCTCACAGTGCTAGAATTTGAGGTGAACGAGAAAGCGTGGCAGCACCAACCACTCACACACGCAAAATCACATTTCCGGCCACTGCCATTGATCGCCTTGCTAATTCTGGGAAGCTCCTCACGCTTCCTGTGTAAACGCGGCACCGTCAGCATGCGGCACTCATCCCTCAAGCCCAGCAGCGCTCCGTCCCCCCGCCGGCCTGGGTTCTGCCTCCCCTCCCCCCTCCCCCCCAGCAGTCCAGCCATCACTCCCAGCGGGGCCACCCGGCAGCCCATCTCCCTGCCATCACTCCCAGCGGGGCCCCCTGCCCCGCTCTCCTTGCTCCCAGGGCCACTCCTGGGCCTGTTGCAGAGGAGCAGCAGCCCGTCTCCCTGCCATCACTCCCAGGCAGGCCGCCCCCCAGGCCCCGACAGCCCACAGCGGCCCCCTGGCACCGCTCCAGCATTGGCGCACCCAAAGGCGCATCAGCCGGGTCAGCCCCCGCAAATCAAAGTCCAGCGACTTTTTGACAGGAAGTTCCTGACTCGGGTGCAGCGTGTTGTGCCGAACGCTGGGTGTGTGGGGCGCTTTGCCTCACGAAGCGACGGGCCGTCACGAGCGGGAGAGGCGGCCGTCATGTTGCGGGCCTCCCCACGCCAGGGTGGCCGTCCCAACCTGTTGTGCCCCATTCTTTTTGTTCCGCAGATCGACTACAACACCACAGAAATGGATGGGAACTACTCGGACAATATCAATGGCTTCTTGTGCCCCGACCAGGAGGTCACCTTCAGTCACCCTTACAGGAGGGTCCTGGTCCCCCTCATCCAACTGCTGATATTCCTCCTGGGCGGGGTGGGCAACTTGATGATGATGGTGATCCTTTGGCGGTACCGGCGCTCGCGCAGCTCCACCGAGCTCTTCCTCTTTCACCTGGCCTTGGCGAACCTCCTGCTCGTGCTCACCTTCCCATTTGGTGCGGTCGAGAGTGTCGCGGGCTGGATCTTTGGGACCTTCCTCTGCAAAGTGCTGAGCGCCACCCACAGGATCAACTTCTACAGCAGCAGCTTGCTGCTGGGCTGCGTCAGCGTGGACCGCTACCTGGCCGTGGTGCACGCGCTCCAGACCTTCCAGAAGCAGCGGGCCCCCTTCATCCACCTCACCTGCGTGCTGGTTTGGCTGCTCTCCTTCCTGCTGACAATGCCCGACCTGCTCTTCACGGAGGTCTGGCAGCGGGAGGACAACGCCAGCATCTGCTACTTCAGGAAGCACGGGGCGGACAGCGCCAACGCACACCTGGCCACGCGCTTCCTGAACCACATCATGGGCTTCTTCCTGCCCTCGGGGGTCATGTGCTTCTGCTACGCAGCCATTGTGAGGGTCCTCTGCCGGTCCCAGCGCCTGCAGCGGCAGAAGGCGGTCAAGGTGTCCATCCTGGTCACGAGCGTCTTCCTGCTCTGCTGGACTCCTTTCAACGTGGTCATCTTCTGGGACACGCTCAGGCAGCTGCACGACCAGGGCTGTGCTGTGGAGGGCGGGCTGAACAGCGCCATCACCGCCACCGAGCTGCTGGCCTTCAGCCACTGCTGCCTGAACCCCATCCTTTACGCCTTCGTGGGCGCCCGCTTCCGCCACGACGCCTGCCGCGTCCTGCACGACCTGGGCTGCCTCAGCCGCAGCACCCTGCAGGAGATCTTGGGCGCCGGCCGCTCTGACAGCACCACGGAGACCAACGTGACCGTCGTGCGGCACCTCACCTCACCGGGCACCGTGAACTCCCCTACATCCTCGGACGGGCCGGGCCCCTTGGCTCCCCAAAGGGTCCCCAGTGGCCAGAGGGCCCAGCGGAGGAGCGTGGGGCCCGGTTTGGGCGAAGACAGACTCTAAGCCAGCAAGGGCCTGCGAGCGGCTGCCGTCCGAGCTTCTGAGCCAACGCACTCTTCCTGGGAGCCGCTCACTTGCCGGTCTCATTGAAAGGGGCACCCGAGCAACTGGCCAGCTCATGGGGAAGGGCCCACATTTGTGTAGGAGCACCACGATGCTCCCTCCCTCAGCGCCGTCCGTGCAGACCGTGACCGTCCTCTTCTCGGGCCGACAGATGTCTCTGCCAAGTCCTGCTGGGCTCCACCATGGAGCCTGGGCAGAGAGCAGGCCCTGTGCTGGCCGCGCGAAGGCGGAGGGTCCCTGCTCCTCCCCAGCTGCAGCCCAGGTCCCCTGCCCCGGCCCAGCCGCCTCGCCTGTTGCCCACGAGCCAGAGCGCGGAGCAGGCCAGGCCAGCAGTACGAACCGCGGGAGAGCCCCACTGCTGGGCCAGACTGGCGTTCCCTCAAGGGCCGCTCGGTGCACCCCCAGGTGCAGACCTCTGCTGCCGCCCCTGCCCTTGCCCAGGGTCCTGCTGGTGCTCGGAGGGGCCACCGCATGCGTGAGTGCGTGGGCCTGCTGCCACTTACCTGGAGAGGCCTGTGGGGGTGGGCAGGGGCTGAAGAGGCTTGCCTGTAGCATTTAGTTCCAGCCGTGCTGTGCTTGAAATTGCAAATCATTAAACAGGAACGTTTTAAACTTGCCTTGGATGTGTCATTGTGCAATGGAAGCAGGGGGGCACCTGTGAGGAGGGCTGGCCGCCCCCGCCACACCTGGAGACGTCCAGCAGCCTTATGGGGAGGTGGCAGGTGTGCCCACCCCTCTGCTTTCCCTCCCGAGGGTGCCTGTCCTCCCCGAAGAAGGGGCGGGCTGGTTGCCCCTGAGAGGCGTGGGCAGCTCAAATGCTGCGACTCGGCGTGGGAGCCTGGAGTGTGCAGAGCGCTCTTCCTTTGGCCCCGAAGCACCACCGCCGCTTCTGGGCACATGGCAGGGGAGCTGCCGCGGTGGAGCTGCAGCCCGTCTGTCCGGCAGGGAAAGCCACCAAGAGCCGCTCTGCACACAGGGTTAGGCTCGGCTTTGGCGGCAGGAGGGCGGCTGCAGAGCAGGGGCCCACGAGGTCTGAGCGGCGCCCCACAGGCTCAGGCCGCAGGGGGGTCAACCTGTCCAGCCCCCTGGCAGACACCAGCACAAAAGGCTCCCCGCAGGCATGTTTTGAAATGTCTTTTTAATAAAAAGGCACCTATAAAACAGGTCAATCAATACATTACAGGCAGCACAGATACCCAAAACAAGCCTAGAAATCATTTCAAAATAAAAACCAGTAAGATGTCTTCACATATTGTATTTATATATTTATATTTATATTTATATATATATATATTTATAGAATGGTACAAAATGCATGGGTGGCATGGGAGGGGTCGCCCCCGGTGGGGGCAGGAGAGCGGCCCATCCCCTCCCCGGGCGCACTCACGCCCACTGCTGCTTTGGGGCCGGCAAAACCGTATGGCGTCCGTTCGCCTGGCACGGGAAATAGGCTGGCCGCAGCCAGCGGGCCGGGAGGGCTCCAGCAGGCATCACGCAAGCCGGGCCGAGCGAGAAAGCGCGAGACACGAGGCCGGACCGCGCTCATGGCCGGCCGAGGCGGCGGCGGGTGGGCCGGCCGGGGAGGAGCTGAGCCGGGAGCGGCCCAGGCTGCCGCCCGCCGCGAGGAAGACACGGGCTGGAAGGCGGTGCTGCTCGCCCCGCGTGGCCGCCAGAGGGACTGGACGGTGGGCCGCGGCTGAGCAGCGCCCCCCGGGGCCTGGGGCACATCGGGGCCATCTCCCCCCGACGCTCACTGCAGCTGGCAGACAGCCTCCCCCCACACCTCTCCCCCCCTCGAAAAGCCGGTACACCCGTGGCAGCCTTCCCGGAGCCTCATTGCCCCCGGGCAGGGCGGGGGGGGGGCTGGGATGAGGGACCCCCTCCAAAGGGAAGGGCCACTCCTGGCGTCAGCTGCACTCCCCCTGCCCGGGCGGGTGGCGCAGGGAGCGCCGTTTACTTGTGGGGTGGCGAAGGACGCAACGCACGGGCCGAACCAGGGCAGGCGTTTATGGCTTTACCAGCAGACGTGCACTTGGAGGGCTCCGAAGCATGGCAAGTGCGAGGTGCCGCAGCCCCACGGGACTCCCTGCTCGGCGTGGAGGCTCTCCTCGCGTGTAGAGGGGCCGAGCGGAAGCACAGGAGCGCCGATGCCGAGCGCCGCTTGCGCCCGTCACTGGAGGGCAGGAGGGCGCCGAGGGGAGATGTGGGCATCGCCTTATGCTGGGCACCTGCATGTGCCAGAGCGTGGGGCAGGTGACTTTGCCCACCTCCGAGGCAGCTCTGTTTCTGCATGCCTGGAGCCACGCTGCAGCCAAGCCCTGCCGAGAGCCGCACCGGAGCCGAGCTAGCGCGAGCTCTTGGCTTTCCTTCTCTGCACATCATCTGGTCTGGGGACATCTGACCGTGGGGCTTTTGAAGGTCTGGACTGAGAACCTACCTGGCCCGTGGCAGCACCTGTGTGCACCCACCTGACCGGCTCCATTTCCCAAGGGGGGCCTTTGACTCGGACTGGCTCGCAGCCCCTCCACCGTCTCCCAGTCTGGTTCACAGAAGCATGGAAGAGCAGGGCCGGAAAGGGCCGGAGGGTCCCGGGTCCTACCGCCTGCCCAGAGCAGGGCACTGAGCTATGCCATCCCCTCAGGTGGCTGTCCAGCTGCACCTCGAGTGCCTCCCCAGGTCCAGGAACTGCTGTCACCCTGCTCCAACAGCCGGGACGTTTTTAAGCTCTACTCTTGTCCTCTGCCGAGGGCAGGAAGTGCCGACCTGCTCACGGGAGGACAGTGCCTGCGCGACTGGGAAGGGTGGGGAGGCGCAGGGGGCACGCAAGGAAGTGCCAGCGCTGCCAGAGGGCACACGGAGAAAGCTGGCCAAAGAACGGCTGCCAACTGTGGGCAAGCTGGAGGACCCAGCACTCGTGCCTCCACATCCCCCAGGGACAGGGGGCGCCAGATGACGGGGCCCGTAGTTCCTGGGTACCGGGAGAGCCTGCGCAGAAAAGGAGACACACTGAGCCAGCCTCTTGCCAGTGCTCGGGACTGGGTCTTGTGGAGACTGGCGGGAGGGGGCGCCGGGAAGGCTGCCCCCCCAGCCATTCTGCAGGACGTCTCTGTCTCGCGCGAGGCGTGGCCGGAGCCAGGGCCACCTCCTGCCCCAAGGCCTTTGGGGCAGAGGGCCGGGCCGGCCCTGGAAGGGCAGCGCCAAGGCTGCCAGGCCCCCCGGCGGGATTCCCGGGCCACACAGAGCTGCGGTTTGTCAGTGGGTCGTGTTTTCGTTGCTTCCAAAAACAGGTTTTGAGGCTTCCATTAAAACACAGAAATACAAACAATTCCAAGCCAGCAAAACTCCTTGCTGCTGCCTCCGCTTTGACCTATTTACAGTTGTTCCAGATCCTCTTGCGCATTTGGTTGCTTAAAAAAAGTGGCGAGAGAGCGGGTGGCGGGGGGGAGGGAGGGGAGTCACACTCAGAGGAAGGATCCCGACCAAACGCGGGGCGGGGGCCGCCCCCCCGCAACACGGGGGCTGCCCGCGCCTCAGAAGGGCAGGTTGGCCATGCTGCCGGCCCCCGGGCCGTAGCTCATCTGGCCGTCCAGGGAGACGCTGCGCTGCCGCAGGGGGTGCGAGACCAGGAGGCTCTGCTGGGGGCCCGGGGGGCCCATGAGCGAGCCCTGCGGGGAGAGCATGTGGCCGGGCTGCGCGTACATCTCGCCGGAGACAGACATGCTGCGCTGCTTGGCCTGCATGAGCAGGAAGTTCTGCTGGGCCACCAGGCTCTGCTGCGGTAGCATCACGCCCTGCGGCAGGCTGTTCCCCAGCAGTGCCTGCGGGGGCGCCAGGCCCGCCCGGCCCAGCCCGGGCACCTGTCCGGGGTGGCACAGGGCCATGCTGCGCTGCATGCCCTGCGGGCCGGGCCGGGCGGGGGCCGGGGCCGGGGCCGGGCCGGGCGCCGGGGCCTGCTCCGCCATCATGTTCTGCAGGCTCATCAGGTGCAGGTTGGAGGGGTGCTGGATCTTGCCCGGCTGCCCCTCGCCCTTGGGGAAGTACTGCAGCGTGCTGCTGGGCTTCTCGGACGGGATGATGCGCGACAGGTCGAACTCGGGGATGCCGGTGGGCGTGGGCCGGATCACGTCGCTGAGCTCCGGGTCGCTGAGCACCGAGGCCACGCCGGGCAGCACCGCCGCCGCGTAGGATTCGGGCAGCCTCCCGGCCAGGCGCTGCGGGGGCGGGGGCGGGGGCGGCGGGGGCTGCAGCTCCTCCGGCGGCAGGCCCAGGCCGGGCGGGTAGTGCTGCTGCAGGCCAGGCCCGCCCGCGCCCCCCGGGCCCATGGGCAGGCTGCCCCCGCCGTTGCTGGGGGGCGGCTGGAGGCGCGGGGGGAAGGCCAGCTGGCCGGGCGGGCCGCAGGGCTGGCCCAGGGGGTCCTGGGGGCCCGGGGCCAGCATCATCGGGTTCTGCGGTGCGCCGCCGCCGTGCAGCGGCATGGTGGTGCCCAGCGGGCTCGGCGAGGACATCGCGGGGGCCGGGGGCTCGTGCGAGAGCGGCTGCTGGCCCGGCAGGTTCATGCCCATGGGGCTCTGCGCTGGCGCGGGCCCGACAGAGTTCATGTGCATCTGCGAGGGCTGGCTGCCCGCCATGCCTGTCGAGGGAAGCAGAGCCAACCGCCCCTCAGTGCCCGGCCACGACCCCCAGCCGACGGAGGGAGGGGCACCGGCCCATGGCGCGGGCAAAGCAGGAGCCCCCGCCCAGAAGCACGTGCAGAGCAGGGGCGGGGGGGGCCCGGAAGAGGCCCCGGGGCCCCAAGAGCAGGCCACACACATGGGGAACACCCCCCTGGACCTCTCCAACACCTCCCACTGCTGCTGCCTTGGGAAGGGGTCCGAAGGGGCAGCCCATGCGCAGGCAAGACAAGATCCTGCCCCTCTCCCCCCAGTGCCCCTGCCAGCAGCCAAGATCTGCTGGAGAAGCCCAAGGGGCCCAGTGGACGAGGGCCAGGGGGACTTTGGCCAGAGCAGCTTTGAGTGCACCCCACGGCGTCCTTGCAGAGAGTGAAGCACCCCCCGCGCCCCGGGCAGCCACCGATGCCAGGTGCCCACCACTGTTTCAACAGCAGAGGCTCCATCTGAGAAGGGACACTGCCTGCCGCCCTGCCAGGGGCCCTCCCCGCACCCTGGCCAGGATGGCCCTGGAGGGCCCCCCGGATACCCACCAGCCATGGTGCCCGGCGGAAGCATCGGCCGGTCAGGGAGCAGCTCGTCGTCCGACGTGGCGATGGTCTTGATGGCGTTGTGGTAGAGCGGGGTGGAGCTGGGCATGGCGTACTTCGACATCTGGGACATCATGAGTGACAAGGGGTTCTGTGACGGGGCCGGATCTGCAGGAGACAGAGGGCGAGGAGGCAGGTTGGAGCTCGCGGTCCCGGCCGGAACGGCACCGCACCTGGGCTGAGGAGCTGCCGGTCCTGCCCGAGGGCAGCGCAGGGGCTCAGCTGGACCCAGGCCCCGACCGGGACCCTGCCCAGCGCTTGGGCGGGACGCAGGCGGGAGGCACTGCAGCTGCCTGCTGGCAGGCTCCTGGCCCGGAAGAGGCTGGATCCTTTGGCAAAGGAGGCCAAGCTGAACCTTCCTCCCAGCGAGGGCAGTGGAGCAAGGAGAAAACGGCAGATTTAAATTCATCAGCATTTCCCATACGGGGTGGATTGAGGCCTGCTGATTTCCCAAGTAAACAAACCCCCGGTAGGAAGCGACCCTTCAAATTGTGTTTGGAGCGGAACACGACTTGTTACTTAGCCGCCAGATGACTCACTCTTGGTCCAGGATGTGAAGGGGCGCTGGAGTCGGGCGCCTGCGCCTGTGCCGACCGCTGCCCCCCGCACAGAACCCATGTCACTGCACGCCGGGTCCTGGCGCTGCCGCTCTAGTCCTCGGCCACCCGCCTTCCCCAGAGCACAGACGCTACACACCCTCTGAGCTCAGGGTAACAACCCGGGACTGTAAGGGTCAAAAGCTTCCGAGAGATAAATTTTGTTGGTCTTTACGGCGGCACAAGACCGTCTGCTGGCTTAGCTCCAACAGCTCGCCATGGCTACATTTCTGGGGGAAAGTATACAGAGGTTTCTTGTGCTCCTATTTGAAAAGCTCTGTGTGGAGCGTCTCTCCAAACAGAAGGCCAAGGACTGGACCAGACCCTTCACCCAGCCACTTCCAGAAACAATCAAGGACTGATCATTATCTGCCTTTTCCACGAGCCAGGAAGAACTGGGCTTTTTATGAGCAGGCAGAATTGTGCGGATCCAAGGTCCGGTAACGCACGGCACAAAGCCAAGTGGCCCGTCCAATAGCCTGGCGATGCCGTTGAAACCGCAGGCCGGGACTCGGATCGCCCTGCATTCCTGACCCATCGGCATCAGCCCACCCTTGGCCTGCTGTGCCTGCATAGCCACTCACTCCTCCGACAGCAACGACCGCAGTGTGACAATCAGAGCCTTGCACACTGCGCTGGATCCCCCATCCAGACACCTCCCTGCAAGGTCCTTGCGCGAATAAAGCCGTCGAACAACGGAGTGCTAGACTGCGCCTCGATGCGGGTCACTGATTAAATTCCAGGCGATATACTCCTGCAAGCTTTGTTTGCCAAATCCCGACCACGCCTAGGATGGCATTTCTTTTTGAAAACCGGCTATTTTCATCAGCATGTGCTGAGAAGGCCACTCAGAGGGAGGCCAGACACCCTGGGCTCGGGGCCCGTTCCCATTTCAGGGGGGAACCAGCCAGCGCACCGGCTGGCAAGTGGGGCCGGGGCCCGGGAGATCCCACTGGGCAGAGCTGAGCCTGGCCCACCTCACAGGGCTGTTCTATGGGTAGAATTGGGAGAAAGAGGAATAGGGGAGCCACCTTGTGCTCCCTGAGGGAAAAAAGGTGGGATACAGACATAACGGACAGGGCGGGTGGCAGAGGCAGCCCCACGTGACCCGCCCCCCCCCCCCGGCCATTACCTGGCTCGATGCTGCCCAGCGGCGTGGAGCTGCTCATTCCGGGGGCCGCCTTGCTCTGGCCGATGCCAGGGCTGGAAAGGGCGTTTTTCGGGGATGGAGCCCACCCGGGAGACGGCACGGCCATGGAGGGCGACTTGAGGTGGCTCGGCGAGCTGGTGGGGGAGTGGACGCCGAGCACGGAGCCGAGGACCTGCGGGGACTTGAGCGGGGTGCTGGCGGCCGGCAGGCTGACCAGGGCAGAGGGCGTCTGCGGAGACTTGAGGTTGGCAGAGGGGGACGTGCCCAGCGGGGAGTGGACTTGGCCGAGGGTCGGAGACTTGAGCCGGCCGACGCCGGGAGAGTTCACCTGCCCCACGTTGAGGGCCAGGTCGGAGGGGCGGCGGCCCAGGCCCCGGCCGGGGGCCTGGTGCATGTTCGCGGCGGGGGCGCTGGTGGTTGGGGGCAGCGGGATGTGGCTGAGCCGTGTGGTGTGGCCCATGCCCCCCTGCTCGGGGCCAAACATGTCCGGCGCGCTGCCCATCTCCTGCGGCCCAGCGGGGAATGGGCCCTGGAGGGCGGGGAAGCCCGGCGGCTGTGGCTGCTGCGCCGGGGGCCCCCCCTGGCCGGGGAAGGCCGCGCCCATCATCATCTTCTGGGGGCCGCCCATCATGGTGCCAGTGCCATTTGGGGCCCGCACCCGGGCCATCTCCTCGGCGGGCAGCAGCTCCGGCCCGCGCATCTTCTGCGACATCAGCACCTGCTGCTGCTGTGGCGTCATCTGCACATTCAGGTTCATGTTCATGTTCATGTTGACGTTCATGTTCATGTTGAGGTTGCCGCCGGGGGGGCCCAGGGCAGGCTCCATGTCCCTCAGCGGGGGGCTCAGCATGGCCCGGGAGCCGCCGAACTCCAGGCCCAGGCCCTCCCCGGCGAACATGGCTGGCTCCACCGGGCGGTGCGCCTGCATCATGCGCTCCACCTCCACGCCCAGGGGCCGCTGCATGGCGCCGGGCCGCTTCTCCAGCAGCTGGTGCCGCAGCAGCTCCTCGCGGGCCCGGGGCGCCAGGAAGCGCTCGCCCTCCCCCTGCCCCAGGGGCGTGTAGGGCAGGCCCCCGGGGGCAAAGCCGCCGGGCGCCCCCATGGGCATCTCGTCGCTCCAGGCCAGGCCAGGCCGGGCCGGGCGCTGCGCGGCGCCCATGGGCCCCAGCGGCTCCAGCGGCAGGCTCTGCATGCCCCCGAAGCCCCGCGGCTGCACCTGGCCGCTGGGGAAGCGCGGCCCGGCGAAGGAGGGCCGCAGCTGCAGCTGTTCCTGCACGTCCACGGGGACGCCGCGCAGCAGCCACTGCTCGGCCGGCTTGCTGTGGTAGGGGGGCGGGGGGCCACGCAGCATCACGGGGCCCATGGGCTGGGGCAGCAGCACGTCCGGCAGGGGCCGTCCGCTGTGCAGGGCGCCCTGCTCCTCCTTGCGGCGCTTCTCCTCGTAGTACTCCTCCTGCAGCTTGCGCCAGGCGGCCTGCTCCGGGGTGAGGCTGTCCTGGCCCAGCCGCTGCATCATCAGGTTCATCTGCTGGCCCAGGTCCACCCCGGCCGGCCCCGGCCCCGGCCCCTCGGGCTCCAGGCCGGGCCCCCCCAGGCTCTGCGTCTGCGAGATCATCGACTGCAGTGGCTCCTCGTACTTCTTCAGGCCGGCCCCGGGCGGCGGGGCCTGCGGGGCCGAGGGGGCCGGGCCGGGGGCAGGGGCCGGGGCGGGCAGGGCGCCCACCTCCGTCGCCCCGGGCCCCCCCTTGAGGAAGGGCTCGGCCTCGCTGCCACGCAGGAGCAGCCGCTCGATGTCCCGCAGAGTCTGCAGGGAGCGCTCCCGGTGCTCGAGCTGCTCCTTGGAGAGGCCTTCGGCGTTCAGGGCGCTGCGGGGCCCGTTCCCCGCGGAGGGCCCCCCTGGGGGGGCACCCTCCCCCAGCAGGCCGTCCGCAGAGCCAGCCGGCAGGGCGCCGGGGGCCGTGGGGGTGCTGGGGTGGGTGCCGCCGGGGGCGGTGCTGCTGCTGCTGCCGTTCCCCACTGAGTTGGGCGTCAAGTCCCGGTGGCTCTCCTCAGCAGGCGCCTCCGGCGGGACAGCTCCGGTGGGCGTGGGCAGTGGCCCCGGGCCCAGCCCCAGGGCGGGAGGTGCTGCAGGCTGGGCGGGCGGTGCCGGGGGCGCGGGTGGTCCTTGGGCCTGGCTGCTGGGCGGCATGGCGGGCTGGGACTGTGGGGTGCCGGCCGGCGAGGGGTCGATCGGCAGCGGCTCCGGAGCAGCCTGGATTTTCGGGGCGGAGGTCTGCGGCAGATGGGAAGGGAGAGGCTGGATCAGGGGGAGCTGCCTTCTGCGGAGGCACCCGGATGCTGCGGCCCCGTCTATGCAGGGAGCGGCCCCCCCCCTCCTCTGCCCAAGCATACCTGGTCCAGCTTGGCCCGGGGCACATGCTGCTGGTGGTAGCCCAGGATGGAGTCCGCCCTGCCCTGAAGAACAGCCTCGGCAGCGCTGCAAGCACACGGGGTAGCCATCAGGAGGGCGTGACACGGAACAGGCCCCTTCCCTGGCCTGCAGCCCCAGCTGCCTGCCCTCCTCCCGAGCAGCCCCAGAAGGGCCCCTGGGCCCCTGCCCTGCCCTGCCCTCCCGCACAGCCCCACCCACAGGGAGCAGCACGGGCCCCGGCCGGGACGGGGCTGCACAGAGGCTCCCTGCTGCCCGCGCATCCCGCAGCCATGGCCACCGCCCGTCCGGGGGCTGCTGCGAGGGGCGGGGGGCCTGCTGGGCCTGCTGGGCCTGCCAGGCCTGCAAGAAGCCGCCAGTCTTACGTGTTAGCAAGGTGCGTGGTGAAGACATAGACGAACTGCAGGGGTGGCTTCCCCCCGCCGCCCCCGGCGTCCGGCCTCAGGCCTGGGGCTGTGCCGTGGGGTGTGCTGGCCGCGCCACCCTCGTTCAGGGCGGGGAGCGGGTTGGATCCAGGGCCCAGCTGTGAGGCAGTGGTCATTGCCGACTCCGGTACATTACAACCTGTGGGCAGGGGGCAGTGGTGGGGGAGCGAGTTAGTGGCTGGCTTGTGCCAGGCGAACCACTTGGCTGCAGGGGGGCAGGCAGAGGACCGAGACCGGCCCCACATGTGGAGTTGGAGAGGCTGGTCAGAGCCCGGGGCGGGCATGAGAGGGAACGTGAGGCCGGGAATGCTCCACGCTCGACTCCCAGCTGCTTTCCTCCCAGGATCCAGCAGGGGGCAGCAGGCAATGGGAGTCCAGACTGGCTGGAGGGTCGGCCAGCGAGCGCCCAGTCGGTCCAGCCTTCAGGGGCAATGGCCTCCGGCCTAAGGGGCCCACCCGGTCAGGGCTCTGCAAGGAGTGGGGGGACGCCCCCCCTCCCTGGACCAGGCGTCCGCTCTGCTGTGCCTGGCTGGCTCCAGCTCTCCCTTCCAGCAAGACAGCGGCACGCCAATGCTGCGCCCGTTCCACCGCCCTGGCAGGAGACGAGGCGCTGCCCTTCGCCCCCCACCTGCTGTCCCTGACACGGGGAGGGCTCTCGGATGGGGCGGCCCGGGGCCCCTGCTCGGAGGCAGGCGGCCCCCCCATGCCCTCGCACACTCACCATGGGCGCTGCTGAGGGGCTTCTCCTCCTCCTCGCTGTCTGCGCCGGAGCACCACTCGTCGCCACTGTAGGGCTGCTTCCGCTCCAGCACGCAGCGCCGCTTGCTCCGTGGGGCCGCTTCGCCTGCAGCGGGGGGCGTGGGGGTCAGTGGGGCCGGGGAGGGCCAGAGGTGAAGGCAGCCGGGCGAGCCCTGGAAGCCGTGGCCCCCTGGCTCGGGCCCGCAGGGAAAAGGGCCCCCCGCTTACCTTTCAGCTCCTTGTCCAGCGAGGCGGCGCTGGCTTCGCGCCGCTCCCCGGAGTCCACCGAGACGCTGCGCTCCCGCTTCACCTTGCCCTTCAGGGCCCCGAAGACGGGCACGGGCGCCTGGCCGCTCTTCAGCCCAGGGTGGCCGGGGCTGGGCTGGCTCACCTTGCCGCCATGGCCCCCGGCCCCCACACCCTTGGCGCCCAGGCTGCAGGCGGGCCCCTGGCTCACGCTGGGCGCCTGGGGCTGGGCGCCGCCGCCTCCCGTCTTGCCATGGCCGGACAGCTTGTTGTCAGGGTGCATTGGATTGGCTGGGCCTCCCGGCAGTGGCCCTGGGGGGAGCGCCGCGTCCCTGCTGTCGCCGGCGCCGCTTCCTGGGGGGCAGAGCACTGCAGGGAGAGCAGGAGGGAGAGGGAAGGAGCTGTCAGCAAGTGGGGAAAGCACTGAGCCTCTGCCCACGTGCCAGCCCACACAAGCCGCCCGGCCCTGCGAGGTCCAGATGGCCCCCTCCCCTCTGCCCGGACTCCTCGGCCGCCGTCGTGGCTGGGAGGGGCAGACCCGGGAGGCCACTGCTGCATGCTGGCCGTGGGGTCCAGCTTCTGGGCCAAGGGGCCGTGCAGCCCACGCTCGGCCTGGCAGCGAGGGTTTGCCTCCCGCGTTTCAAGACCAGTTTCCCTTTTGGGAGCAGGAGGAGAGCAGGGCAAAGCGTCTTCCCCAGCCCACTCCGCCGCACGCCATGGGCAGCACGGCAGCGGCCTGGGCACCTCTGCCCCCACTCTGGCTCCTGGCCCCGCCGGTACAGCTACAGGCCCTGCGCGCCTGCTCTCCAGCGGGACCCCCGCGCAGAAGCGCAGGGCACAGAAGGTGAGGCGATGCTTCCTCCGGATGGGCCCTCCACCTCTGTGGGGCGAGCTGGCCCGCCCTCCATCACAGGGGATGGCCAAGGCTTCCTGCAGCGCTTGCCAAGCGGGCTGTGGCTAGGCCCACAAGCCAGCCTGGGCCAGTCCAGCCCACTTCCCCTTAGCCGCTCCTAACCGGCCAGCCTGGGGCACAGATCCGCTTTCCTTCTGGCTGGAGTCCCTTTAAGGGTCAGCCCCCCCCCCCCACTGGCTCTGTCTCTGGGGGCCTATTAATAGCAGCTGGAAAGATCACATCACTCCAGGGATATTTATACCTCGTTCCACACGAGGAGAGAATTATTTCCCTGTTGCCTCAGCCAGGCCTGCCCAGCACGGGCCGGGGGGGACACTGGATTGGGCAGGACAGGCTGCCTGCAGGCCGCAGAGCCAGCCTTCTAGGCGGGGGGCCCAGAGGGGCTGAGATGCCAGCAGGCTGGCAGCACCCGCAGGGCCCGCACATACCCTGCAGGCACCCAGCGGCCCGAGCGCCATCCCTGTGGCCCACGCCACTCTGAAAGACGGGGACACGCCAGCCCAGCCATGGCCTTCTCCACGGGGCTGCTTCTGGCACCATCCCTTCCACTGCGCCCGCAGTGACCTGCCTGGGGACGAGCGCATGATGCGGCCAGCCGCTTGCGCCCGGGACTGCCGGAAGGGCACCGCCTGCCCCTCCGGCCCTCGCTTGTCCAGGTCACGCTGGGGCGCCCTCCCAGGCGCACCACTTTCCAAAACGACAACCGGGAGCTTCCGTGGGCCGGCAGCGGTCCCAAGGCCATCGCCCGCCCACCCGCCAGCCAGGGCCCTCCCAGGCTCCCCACTGCTTCCCCGCCTCCTCTGCAGCCAGGGGCCGCACGGCTCCAGGTGTCCCTCCACGCGGGGGCGGACTGTCCAGGCACGCCAGCTCGTTCGGAGACCCGGAAGTCCCGGGGGGCACTCGCATCATTCCAAGTTGGCTATGAATGGGGCGCCCCGGCCAGAGCGCGTCCAGCTCCGGGGAATGGTTGCGGAGAGCCTGCTCAGCGCCCGGAGCGCCATCCTGCCTCAGATCCCACGGGCGACGTACAGCCGCTAGGACTGGCAGCCATTGGTCGGATCCTCCTTGATGGAAGGCCATTCCGAGCGGCGGCCCTCCTGCGCAGAGGAGGATTCTCCGAGCGCTGGCCAGGCCCCGGCCCTCTGCTGGCAGGTGTGCCCGGTTGCCTTCCTCTCGCTCTACTCCTGGAATAAACACCTGGGCTTGGAGAATGAGGGGGGCCTGGGGAGGGCCAGGGTCACGGGGGTCTCCACCTCAACCAGACAGCAAGTGTCTGGCTCGGGGCTTCTCTGTGTGGGGGGGCAGCAGCACCGCCTACTGATCAGAGGCAGGTGCGAGCAGCCAGCCTGACACAGGAAGTGTGACGGCTCTGAGTGCCCGTGCCGGATAGCGGCCCTTGCATCCCTGCCCTCCTTGCAGCCTTCCCACGGGAGCATCCGGCTGGCCACTGTGGACTAGCCAGATCCAGCTTCAGGGCTCTTCCCATTTCCTGCTGTTTGCTCGCAGCCTGAACTGCTGAGAATGTACTGAAAACATTTCTATAGCTCCTTTTGGGAAAATGCCTTCGATACCACTTACAAAATTTCAGAAAACACAAGAGAGGGCCCGGGAAAAGATCAGCTGGCAGTGCGCTTGAAATGTGCAGCAGCCACTTCAAGCACCAACGCAAGATGTGTCCTGCGGGAGCCGGTTGGCGGTCCGGGGGACGGGCCCCTCAGAGTTCCCACGTGTCGGGCACGCCGAGGGTGTCCTCGGCGGGGCCTCTCCCACTGCTTGGTGCACAGGAGCAAGGCCATAACAAGGGATGCCCCTTCCTGGAAGCTCGGCAATGCCTCCCTCCAGCCCTGCTCCTGGGGCAGCTGCGGCTCGGCCCAAACGTGTTGGGGCAAAGCTGGGGAAGGCAGGAGGTTTCCAACTTCCGCCTGGGGATGGGCCAACTCCCGCCTGACACCCTCCCACGCACCGAGCCAGCTCCACGGCTCCGCCTGGAGTGAATGGAAGGGTTCCCATTCCCCCTCCAGCAGCCACGCCACACCTACCCGCGTGAAGGAGTCGCTGCCGCCTGCCCTGGAAGGCAGGGAGCGAGGGGGGCATCTCTGCTGCCCTTCCTGATCCAGTGTGCAGGGCAGGTGGGCGGAGCAGCACTGCAGCCCGCGCTGGCAAGGATCTGTGCCTCCCGGCCATGCCCTCCACTCTGCCAAGGCTTATTCTGAGTACTGTATGTTTTCATCTGCGTAAGAATCTGGGGCAAGCCGCCCCCTCCAATTTTTGGGCACATCCCTGCATTTTTCGCAGGGAAGACAGTAAAAAGGTGGAAGTTCAGTTTTCCAACTGCACAAAACTTACTTTCCACCGCACAATTTTATTATTTTTACAACTGCACAACATGTGGCCTAGGTGCACATTGGAGCAAATTCTGCTCTGTGCAAATTGCTATTCTACCCCAAATGGTTCTGGCCCGACTGTTAGGGAGGCGGACTGAGCGGGTTAAGGCCACCGCTCTCTTCTGCAGGAGAGGCTGCAGCCAAGTGGGGCTCAAGGCAAGCGCAAGAATGCCCAGGGGCTGCCCCCGCCGCCTCCACTGTGACCTGCTTCTCACAGAGGGGCCTGATCCTGCCCCACAGGCCCCGACTCCTGCCCTCTACACAGGCAGTGCAGGCAAGCGGTGCAAGGTGCCTTCCTCCTTGCCCAACATGGCCAGGAAGCACCCTTGAAAAGAGACGCGTCTTAAGATGCGCAGTGCTCAGGTGCTTCCGACTTCCACCACGCACAGCTCACTGGTGCAAACTCTTTGAATGGAATGATGCCACACACACACACACACCTTTATACTTCACCATTCTGCACCTGCCACAACTTGAACAAGCGATTCTACTACTATTTCTGCTACAGGTGCAGGGACAAAAGCACCGCCTCGCTGCCCCCGTCTCAGCCTGCCTGTCCCCTCTGGAGCAGCAGCACAGCCGCCTGGCTCCTGCCAGCAGGCTTCATTCCTCATTTAGCACAGCCCTTCCAGCTAGAATAAAAGCAGCAAAGTCACCCCTTGCATGCCCCCCCACCCCAGAGCCCAGGCTGCAAACCAGCAATGGGAGGAGGCCCCCCTGGGCAGGGGGCCCTTTGCTGCTGGCCAGCTCTCCCCAGACCCTGCTTGGAGGGCCACCAAGCCCTTGCCTGCTGCGCCTGAGCGACAAAGTCCCCACGGCAAGCTTCCCGGTGGCCCCCGGACACGACTCTTCAAGCAGGGAACTGGGCAAGGAGGGAAGGCTGGGGGGTGAGAGGACGTCACAGAGGACAGGCAAGGCCGCTTCTTGTCCGCTCCAGAGTGCGGGGCACCAAGTAACGGGCTTGACTTAAAAGGAACCAGGTAGACCAGACACTGGGGAGAATTTCCTCACAGTCAGAGCAGCACGGCAATGGGGTCCATAACCTGGGAAAGTTGTGGGAGGGAAGGCTGGGGGGTGAGAGGACGTCACAGAGGACAGGCAAGGCCGCTTCTTGTCCGCTCCAGAGTGCGGGGCACCAAGTAACGGGCTTGACTTAAAAGGAACCAGGTAGACCAGACACTGGGGAGAATTTCCTCACAGTCAGAGCAGCGCGGCAATGGGGCCCATAACCTGGGAAAGTTGTGGGCTCACTGGAGACATTCAAAAAGTGTCTGGACAGTCCGCTGAGCGGGGTGGTGTAATGTGGTGTCCCACAATAGCAGCGATGGCCGACTGGCCCCTTCCAGCTCTGCTGTTCTAGGATTTTCAAGTAAGCCAAATCCAAGGTGAATGGAAGTCTGTAGCCCCTTTGCACCTTTTTTGACTGAGCAGCAGAAGACGAGGTGCACAGAATTTTATTTTCATCTATGGAAACCCCAAGGGGACGAGCTGCATGGGGAGCAGGGGGACCCCTTGTCACTTCGGAAGCTGCTGGGCAGGCAGGGGCACCACTGGAGCAGCACAGCCCCCAGCAGAGGGCAGCGTGGATCTCGGAGCCAACCCACGGGCCTCTTCCCCGTGCCAATGACGGCCAGGCTAGGTGGCTTTCCCGGGGAGCTCCGACTGTGGGGCCCAGCCCAGCACACTGTCCAGTGTGTGGCGGCACTCAGACAAAGAACGGGGCTCCTCCAGCCAGCCGCGCCGGACAGTCCCCGGGTCCAGCGGGAGTCCCAGGCATGCAGAGGTGCAGGTACGGCGGGATGCGGGAGCTCAGGGCCCAGGTGGTTTCTCACAAGGATGCCCTCTCTCACGGAAGGAAGGAAGGAAGGATAGGAAGAGCACTGCGGGATCAGACCCGGGTCCATCCAGCCCAGCACCCGGCCATCAGCTGCCCATGGGAACCCACAGGCTGAGCATGGGGGGAACAGCACCCCACTGCTCATGTTTGCCCCCAACTGGGGCATGTGGCAGGCTATCTCTGAGGCCGGAGGTGGCCGAGGACCCTCAGTTCCAGCTGC